AGGGGCGAAAACCGCGAAATCAGAAGTTGGAGTTCGAGGAAATTGGCGTAATAACCTCGAACGTTCCATTGAAGAATGGACAACGACGAGAAGAGAAAGGACAAAAACAGAGAACAAGGAAGAAACAAAGGCGAAAGAGCAACAGAGCACGTTAAAGAATATCAGGGTCGGGATCAGGGTCAGCAAAGTCAGGGTTAGGGGGCATGGGTAAACTGAGCAAAGACGGAGGGAAGGAAACGGGAGAACAGAGCAGAGGTGGGCGGGCAGGGTCTGGAGGAGGAGGAGGAGAGGAGGAGACAACGGAGAGGAGCCGTCAAGGACAGCAGCAGGAGGAGGGGGAGTAGAAAGAGGGGAGCGCACCCCAGCAAGAGCAGCAACCGAAAGGGAAGCAGGGGCCAAAGAAACCTCCATAGCAGGAACAGGGGGCGCAAGCACTGAAACGGGAGGGGAAGGAGCAACAGAGCCAGAAGGAGGAGCTGAGGAAGAAAGCGAAGCCTTCTTACCCGCCGGGGAAGAGGAAGGAGAGGAGCCAGGCTTACGCTTCTGACTTAAAGAGACCGGTGTCCCAGCAACTACGTACCGGGCAACGGATTCCAGTGTCTCAACAGGAGAAGCCGAACGAGAGCACACACGATGGCCGTTAGGAGAGCGATGGACATCCGCCCGCACCGACAGGCGGTGGGGAGAGCCAATAGATGGAGGAAGAGGATGGGAAGGAGGATCGGAGGGGGACGAGGAAGAAGACACAGAAGACACGACAGACCGGGTAGAAGGAAGGGGAACCCCAGACAGAGGACCAGGAGGAGGATCCTTCGGGAGAGAACCCAAAGGAACAGAGGAGGGGGCAGTGGGCGCATCAGGGTCCAAGGCCCGGAAACGGTTGTGAGTCTGAGGAAGGCGGGAAGGACGAGGAGAGGAAGAGCGCAACACGCGAGCATAAGAGATATTAGCATAAGGCGGGAGCCGGCGAACCTGGCGCCTCGCCTCAGGAAAAGATAAACGCTCCCGGTGCTTCAGGTTGAGGACGGCTGCCTCAAGCTTGTAATGGACACACGCACGGGAGAAGGTAGGATGGGCCTCACCGCAGTTGAGGCAACGAGCCTGGGGAGAAGTGCACTCCGACTTAGAGTGACCTTCGCCACCACACAAAGGACAGAGAGAGACAGTCCCGGAGCAGCGGAGGGCACCATGCCCAAACCTCCAGCACTTGTTGCAGAGCCGAGGAGAAGGAATGTACTCCTGGACAGAGCACCTGGCACCAGCAAGAATGACAGAGGGTGGAAGGGTCCTACCATCAAAGGTAATCTTCACAACCCGGAGGGGTTGACGGCGACTACCACGAGGGGGACGAGTAAACGTGTCCACCTGGAGAATAGAATGGCCCTGGGCAGCGAGGATATGGCGAATATCGTCGTGGCAGTCGCACAGGTCCCGAACACCGGTTGCAACATGGGGCGGGAGCAAAATAGTGCCAACACTGGCATTCAACTGAGCGTTCTTCGAGACCCGAACGGGGGTCTCACCAAGGTAGGATAAGGCAGCCAAGCGGGAAGCAGCATCCTGAGAAGGAGCAGCAACGACACGTGTACCGAGACGAGTGGGGTTGAAAGTAATGGAGGCATCCACGGAATCAATGAGATGTCGATGAAGGGAGAAATCGTCAGGAGGCGCAGAATCAAGAGGGAGGAGATCAAAATATTTGGCCCACGAAGCGGGACCAAACAAGGCTTGATAGGTAGCAGAACTGGAAGGAATCGAGCGAGGGCGGCCGTGACGAGGACGGCGGTGAGAACCCCCAGAGAGAGAGGGGTTAAAAGGCGCAGTAGTTACAACTAGAGAAGGAGCCGCGCCAGGGGACGAGGTAGTCACCACTGGGGGCTTGGGGCTCGACCCAACCACAGAGGAGGGAGGGGAGCCAGGGGAAGGAGTCAGAGAGGCCAAAGGAGGAGCAAGGTCGGGGCCCAATGCAGCGGAGGCTACAGAGCCCGGTCTTCCAATACGGACCGACTCGGGGGCTTGGTCGCCCACCCCACGAGCCTGAGAAGGTAAGCCAGAAGCAGCCGAAACAGGGGTTATCATCTTGACGAAATGAAGAATTCACTCACGAATGTGCCCCCACACCCACCATGGAGCCACAATTAGAGGCAGGACACCCAACAAGAAGCTATCGCCGATCTTGTCGGGGCCTCCTAGGGGTGCGTCGTGAGTATACGCCCCACAAACGCCACCTTAAGAAACCGACAGTCCGTCGAGATCGGGTTCAGTGACGAAGTGGGGATTGACAATAAAAGGTTCCCCTCGCTCTCGACGTCGGGTACTGCAGTTCTACGGGTGCATGAGTATGCCTCCTCAAGCACCCGGGCGTCAAAATAGAAGAAGTCCATGGAAGAACCAGAACGAGCAAAAGGTCGGCAGGAAACGGCAAGCAGATAGGAGAAGAGGGGGGAGAAAAACGAAACAGAAGGAAAAGGAAAAGATGCCCAGCAAAATTGGAGAGGACGGCAGCAGGAGCACAAGGCTAGAAAAGGACAGAGGACTGTCCCAAGGAGCATCACACTCCGGCAGCCGCCCACTAAGCCCCCACACGGCGACAACGAGCTGAGCGGGGAGGGGGTGGAATAGGAGAAAATGTAGGTAAAAATGGGCTTTGCCAGTGTTGTGATACACAACATGGGGTTTATTTGGTGGAAATTGCCTTAAATTAGATTGAATTTAGGTGGCATAGCTTAAATTTTACCAACTTGAACTACATCTAGGTTTAGATATGCTAGGTCAGGTTAGATGAGGTCGTGTAGGGAAGGACATATATATAATATCTTAGGGGTAATGAACTAGCATGTTTATGAAATAATGTAAATTTTCCTATTTGGGATTCGAGCTATATGGCCAACTCATGTAATGTATGGACAGAGGTGACATAGGCTTGTATGTGAGGATATGGGATGCTCATATTTAGTTAGTTTAGCTTTTGCTAGGTTAAATTTAGTCAAATTTGTGTAGTATAAGTATATTTTTTTTGATAGATTTAGATGAATTTAGGTTTTAATAGGATGCATTTTTGGTAAGATATAGCAAATTTGCTTAAAATTATCATAGAAAATACTGACTTTACCTAACTCCACCTGCCCTAACATAACTAAGGCTAGAACAAATAAGTCTATTAGATGGTTTGCATAAATATATATGGGTGACCTGATTGGAGAGGATGTGACAAGGAAGGTATTAATAAGACATTAAAAACAATGGACATATGTTAGAGGAATAGTTTATCACTAATAATGTTGAAACATTAATGGAAAATGAATATGTTTTATATTGAGCTCATCGGAAGTCATATGTACCTTTTTTATATGTGAAATTCTGACTTTTGGGGAGTTGGTTAAATATGCAAAAACTAGAAGATAGAAGAAAAAGAGGCGATATGATCACTACGTTCAAAATAGTAACAGGAATCGATAAAATTGATAGGGAAGAATTCCTGAGACCCAGAACTTCAAAAACAAGAGGTCATAGATTTAAACTAACGAAACAAAGTTGCCGGAGAAATATACGAAAATTCACTTTTGTAAATAGAGTGGTAGACGGTTGGAACAAGTTAAGTGAGAAGGTGGTGGAGGCCAAAACCGTCAGTAATTTCAAAGCATTATATGACAAAGAGTGCTGGGAAGACGGGACACCACGAGCATAGCTCTCATCCTGTAACTACACTTAGGTAATTACACACACACACGCAGTGGCACCTCGATTAACGAGCGGCTCTATTTACGAACATTTCGAGTAACAAGCAAGCCACTCGCAGCAAATTTGTCCCTATTGACGAGCTTCACCTCTATGAACGAGCAAAACCACATGGTGCTTCCTAGTCTCTCGCAGGTTCTCACAAATTCTCAGACGCCTCCGACGCCACTGTTGTTGTTGTATGGCGCACGACAAGCATCCCTCTGCATATATTTGCGCTTTTCTTTGTTTTTTTTGTTTTTTTGGTTTTGTGACTACAATTTGTAATGCACGATGTCGCCAAAGAAGCTGCTTGCTAGAGATAACGTTGTCAATAATAAGAAAGAGACAATTACTGTGGATTTGAAGAAGGAAATTATAGCAAAGCATGAGCGTGGTGTCCGTGTGACTGATCTCACAAGGGAGTATGGCAGGTCCTCATCAACAATTTGCATAATAATAAGGGGAGGAGGAGGTAAGGGAGGATGCTGCCTCTTCCAGTGAGATCAGGGAAGTGTTGAGAATGTTTGAAAAGGTGACCGCATTCTTGGAAAAGCATCACCCTGATAAAGCAGTGACAACCCGGTGTGTGAACATGTTTAATAACAATTTGCTGCCTCGTTTTAGGGACATCCTAAAACAAAGACAAAAGCAATTGTCAATAGACATGTTCTCTGCAAAAGTAGAGAAAAGAAGAGCCAGTGACAGTGAACCACAACCTGGTCCCAGTGGGGTGAAATTCCCAAGAAGAGAGAGCCCGCCTGACTCAGAGGTGATTCTCCTTCCACACCATAACCCCTCTCCTTCTTCCCACCTCCCCATCGTCTCCCTCAAGCCAGCAACGACTCTTCATAAGGTAAAGTAAACATAAAAACAGTACAACAAAACATTTATAATTACATGTGCAGTATTATATTTACATTATAAAATGTCATACAATTATGGATGTTTTTGGGAGTGGAATGGATTGAATTTTATTTCTTTTATTTTAAATGGGGAAATTTGTTTCTTAAGACGAGTTTTCCAGATGACGAGCTTGGTGCCAGAACGGATTAAACTCGTTAATCGAGGTGCCACTATATATATATATATATATATATATATATATATATATATATATATATATATATATATATATATATATATATATATATATATATATATATATATATATATATATATATATATATATATATATATATATAAAATAAACAAAATATATAAAAAAAATAATGGGGGTGGAAGGAGAGGAAAAGATTAAAGTGTTCAGTGAGAATCCACAAGGCCTTCTCTGAATACTCTTTATTTGCTTCTTCGAGGATGTGGGTCCCTACAATTGCACCAGAGGTGGTACCCCTGAATATATATAAGTATACATATATATTTATTTATTATTTATTTATTTTAACATCATTAATTCAAGTATGAGTCCTCTGTCAAATTTATTATGTTCTTCACTTTGGTGAGTTAAATTTGCAACTTCCATCATAAGTTTATTTGACAGTTTTTATATGGCTTGGCACATGCCACTGAGGGGCATATTTAATTGAAGCTCCCAGACTTCTACAGAGGGAGTGTATGTATAGTGGCTGGGGGTAAAATTATGTACACCAAGTACGATGAGATGATGTGAAGGGGCTGCACAGTCGCTCTCAGCTGAGGAAGTGTGGTTACCTTACTTTGCAGTTAATTAAGAAGTCTTGGACCTATTTTTTAATTTTGGCCTATTTTGCACTTCCTGCTATGCTTTCAAGTCTCATGTGTTGTTATTTCCAGGTGCAGATTTGGAACCAATCCTCTAATATTTCCAAAGTTTAAATTATTCTCTCTCTCCTACCTGCACTCTAGGAAATGCAGATTTAAAAATCTCAAATGGTCATAATAATTTAGATGTTTTATTGAGTGGATTCTAACAGTAAAAGGTCTTTGCACATTCTCCAACAATTTCTCCAACTTTGAATTGGGCTGTTATTGAGCAATTTCTTACTTGGTCTACAGGAAGGCAAGGTGTGTCCAGGAGTAAGCGTACTGTCAATAATTGAATGAGTGTTTGATATGCAGTACCTCAGCCATGTCAAATTTTTTTGTCATGGTCAATTTTTCTGTCGTGTTGGTCAGGATATCTCTGGTGATGGTCTGGATGTATGTAGTGATCTTTGATATCCTTGTTGTTTGTATACAAGTCAGATCCCTTGAAAGATATTTTTTTTTGTAGGGATTTTTTTTTGGGGGGGGCAGGGATATTGAAATATATGTTGCTGTCTTGCCTATATAGTGAGATCAATGGGGCTGACAGTTCCCAAGTGGGTATGTAATTGCATAAAACAGCATTAGTCTTTCATGGCATTTCACTTGGTACCCCCCCCAGTCACTATGTATACACTGCCTCTGAAAAAAAAGAGAGCTTCAACAAAACAAGCCATCCAAGTCAAACCGTAAAATAAACTAGGGATAGCTAAGATTCAACTTCTTTCCCAAGTGAAGGAAACATAAGAAATATAGAGACGTTTCATGCTAGAATTACTGATCAGATCATGCTAGAAACAGAACTGAATATGACCCTTTTGGTCATATTCAATAACATGTGTCTTCAAGAAAAACTGCTACCAAAATATACTAATATACTGTACATATGTACATATATATACTGTGTATGCAACATATGAATAAGCACACAGTAACTTATAATCCATCTATAACATCACCAGTTTCCAGTAAGGGCAGTATATATGAAGATGACTTCACTTTCTCTTCTGGCTATGCTGCCTTTTAGGAGGAGACCATCTGAAATTACATCACAGATTAACCCTTAAGCTGCACAAAACATCATATGATGTGTGACATTGAAGGGGGATATAATTAAAAATATATTCAAATTATGTAAAAATTACTTAAAAATGTTAAACAAATCTCCAAATTATTGGCTTCCTCTTCATGAAACTTTGATCAAAATATTTTCAGAAATTTATTTTAAGACGAATATCTAAAAAAAAAAAAAGAACTTTTTGTTGATAAAGAAAACAGCTCCTATTAACTGGAACTGTTGAATAATGCAATAGTAATATAGAGATGCAAGAACCTGTCCAACGCACATAGAAGAAGAATAGTAGTAAGAAGTGTCCACAAAGTGGATATACAGCTGGTGTCTTCATAGCATTGGTGAATAATACATAACAACACAAATAATAATGAGTAACTATGTTATTATGCTCTATTTTGTTATATATCATATAAATACATTGCCCAATGTTATTCTCAATTACTTTCAATAATGTCCAAAAAACCAGCGTTGAATGTAATGAAACGCCATTTTCTGGGTGAGTCCCGGAGGCTCCCCGGAGCTATCCCAGGCTGATATCAGGGCCCCCTCAGAGAGGCAAGGGGAGCAATGGCCTATAGAAGCCCCCGTGTGGTTGGAAGCATTCTATGTCTGCCATCGACCGGAACAGGCACCCAGAAAGGTAAGCGCCTCAAAACAAACCCCTATTCTGGTTAAAATTGCTACCAAAAACCGTACTAGTGGATAGAACTCCCCAACCGAAAACAAGCAAACTAGTGTGACGTCACACACCGCCGCGCCGCTGTCTGCGCAGCTCCCCCCTCCCCGGGAGGGGGAAGGGGGAGCCCCAGACCCCCCGCGCCGGCTACCCACACCTCAGTTCTTGAGGCTGGATGTCAAAAACGCGAAAAACTGCCGACCGGAGGGAGGGAGGGATGCCGGGGAGCCTCCGGGACTCACCCAGAAAATGGCGTTTCATTACATTCAACGCTGGTTTTCTGGGGGGAGCCCCGTCGGCTCCCCGGAGCTAACTACCCACAGACAGAAAAAAAGAGGGACTTACCCGGGAGGCGGTCGTCGCTCACTCCTCAACTCGAAGCCGAGACAACTGGCTGCAACCGCCGACCCAAAGCAACACAGGCCCGACGAGGCCCAGCGACATTCACAAGGTAACGAGCAGCCAGGACCCTGTTCAACCGCCAAAATCCCCGCGCCCGAATATCAGACCAAGACATATTCCCAAAGACGGCAGCAAGAGCTGCGAACTTACGAACGTCATGGGCACGGGGACTGACCGCAGGCTGGCTGGACTTAATAAACCTGCGAGACCCGAACCCGTGAACAGGGAAGAAGGGAAACCGGATCAACCCACAGCGCGTCCCCGGACACAGAAGCTGTGGCGCGCAAATAACGGCGAAGCGCCGCAACTGGACACAAAACATGATGCACCCCCGGCCTGGCCAACGAAGCATCAACCACCCATGGACCCCTCCGGATCGCAGCAGTCTCATTCTTCGCCAGAAAAGAAGGAGATGGCTGCAAACGAACAAAACAATCGCCACGACCAAAAGAGCAGAAACCCCTGCGCCGGAGGAGAGCATGAAGCTCCCCTACCCGACCCCCAGAGGCAAAGCCAACAAGAAAAGTGCCTTGGAAAAATAATCCTGGACCGAAGGGGCCACAACGAAACGAAGAGATGAAAGGAAAGCGAGCACTCTGTCCAAAGACCAGGACGGCTCAGGCGACGCATGAGCAGGCCGGAGGTGAAACAATGCACGAGACAGCTTGTGAAACGGCGCAGATGTAACATCGATACCGAAAGCAAGCTGAAGCGGCTCCGCCAGCGCCGCACGATACGAAGCGACAGTGTTAGGCATAAGATGACGGTCCTGAAACAACCACGAGAGGAAGGACAAGACCACCCGAACAGACAGGGAACTAACACGACGAAGACGCAAAAAGAAACGGAAGGACCGCCAGGAAACTTCATACTGCCGCTGAGAAGAAGCCCTCAGGTGGGACACCAACAAGGAGGCCACCTGATCACCATAGAGATGATGATAGACTCGAGTCAAAAAAACCATACGCGAAGACTCGAGGAGAAGATCGAACCAGCCACGTGACGTACCGGCCCGATCTGCTGAAAGAGGCGGAGCCGCGGGAAATCCCTCGGGTTCGAACACCGAGCAACCAGCGCCTGAAACCAAGGCTGGGCGGGCCACCAAGGGGCCAGAAGGACAACTCTCCCCTGGTAAGTCTCTAAGCGAGTCAGGACCTGGAGCAACAGCCGAACCGGGGGAAAGAGGTACAGGAACCCCCACCTCGACCAGTCTAGCCGAAAGGCATCGACCCCGACGGCCTCGCGATCGGGGAAGGGCGCCGCATAAACGGGAAGACGCCGCGACCACGCCGACGCGAAGAGGTCCACTTCGGGGCGCCCGAACGTCCGGCAAAGCCAACGGAAGGACTCGTCGTCGACCGTCCATTCCGTGGAGAGGGGAACGAAGCGAGACAGGGCGTCGGCCAAGACGTTGGACACTCCCCGTACGTGAACCGCCAGGAGAGCCAAACCCCGAGAACTCAGCAGACGAGTCACCCAAAGCGACCAACCCCAAAGAGACTAGGACCGCATCGAACCCCCGCGGTTCAGGCAATGAACCACCGGAGAGCAGTCCGAATGGAGCCGAATCGTCGATCCGCGGGCCACCCGAATCCTCCCCAGAGCAAACCACACTGCCGCAAACTCCCGCACCGTGCTGTGAGCTCGACGGAAGGACGGATCCCAACGCCCCTGACCGGCCTGGTGAGCACTGGTCACAAAACCCCAGCCGAGAGACGACGCATCCGTGTACACATCGAGCGAGGGCTCGGGTAGGCGCCAAGGCACTGAACCCCAAAAAAACCTAAGAGGAAGCCGGTGACACAGCAACCGACGCAAGGCCCCCGGGGGTCAAACTCTGCGATTGCGAGAGAGGCGGAAGGGGGAACCCCGAAGGAACCAGAACAGCCGTCGAAGCCAAACCCGACCCGGCGGGTAGACCACCATCGCGAAGTTCAGGCTCCCGCACAGCCCCTCAAGCAACCGCCGGGTGACCTGAGGGCCCTCCAGAAACAGACGAAGGTGGGACCGCAGCCGCAGGAGAGACTCCGGAGGGAGAGACAAGGAGGCGGTTCGAGAGTCCACAACGAGACCCAGCCAAGTCCGAATCTGAGAGGGAACCAGATGGGACTTCCTCCAGTTCACCAAGAACCCGAACTCGGCGAGCTGGGAAAGAACCAAATCCCTGGCTAGCAAGCAAGCTGTCTGGCTGGGAGCCCAAACCAGCCAGTCGTCGAGGTAGGCCAACACCCGAACACCTAGGAGACGCAAACGAGCCACCACAACCCGTGTAAGGCGCGTGAACACGCGAGGTGCCAGGTTCAACCCGAACGGGAGACAACGAAAGCTGTAACTCAGACGCCCCACAACAAAACCGAGCCAGTCCCTGAACCGGTTGATGAACCGGGACATGCCAATAAGCGTCCCGGAGGTCCAGGGACACCATCCAAGCTCCCGGCTCCAAGAGGAGCTGAACCAGAGATAGCGTAGTCATCCGAAAGGAGGGGCAATGAACCCAGGGGTTCAGACGGGACAAGTCCAGAATGAACCGCAGGTCCGCGCAGTCCCGTTTCGGAACTGGAAACAGACGGGAAACCCATCTGAGGGACGACGTCGTTTCGACGACGCCCAAGCGTACCCACTCCAAGACGACTCAACAGAGCGCAGGGGAAGAAACCTGCCCTGCCTGCCCCAACCCCCCAAAGGGGGGAGGGGCCACCCAACGCCACCGCAGGCCGCGAGACACGACCCGAAAGGCCCACGAATCGTGGGACCAGGCGCGGGCGAACAGTGCAAGCCGCCCCGTCAAGGGGGCAAACCGCGAAAGGGCCGGCGACCCTTACGAGACCCAGAACCCCGCACAGCGCGAACACCGCGCCGACCAGACGAGGGAGGGTCCGCAGGAGCCAAACCCGAACCTGACACCAGAGGCCTACCACGACAAAAGGAACCCCGAGCCCTGGCACGACCTTTCCGGGAAGACCCACCCCGGGACCCCCGGAAAACCAACAAGTCCGACATCGGACGATAAGCCGCCGACGCAGCCTGAATAAACTGCGCCACGGCCGACTCCTCAAACAGAAGAGGACAAAAAGGTGAAGAACGCCTAAGAGCCAGAGCCCAAGCAGATTCCATGGAGGAACCCAGCACCGCCTGCCGACACGTGAGACAGGAAGCATAAAACAGGGAAACCGCATCCCGCAAAATCGGTGTGAACAGCTTCAACAAGGCAGCCGATGAATGCGCAGCCGAGGACAAGGTGCCGGACCCCGGGACGGACCCAAGCGTCCCCACATCCTCCACGAGCCAATCCGAAGACAGCTCCAGGAGAGAAAAGAACCACAAGGCCGAAGCCAAAAGGCCCCGGGCGCACAAGTCCTCCGCAACGAGCGCCGCCGAAAGGGAGGGAACCTGCACATGGAGCTGAATAATGCCCACATCGCAGGGAAGGGCAGGGGCAAACAAGCACTCATTCAGGTACTCAAGTTCACCCCCCAGGAAAACCTGAAGCACCGTGGAAGCTTCCCGCCACTCCAGCGTGCGGGAACGACAGAAGGAATGCCAGGAATCCAGACCAAACAAGGGGCAGTCTGCTAGCCAGGACAACTCCGGAACCTTGTAACGGAGCCAGAAAGGGAACGAAGTCCCAAACCTGAACGTGGACGGATCCATTTCCGAGGCATAATCCGGGTCACGCAGGAGGTAAGCAGCAAAGGCCGCTCGCATCACACCAGGTTGGATGCGATAAGCCGAAAACCTCCGGAAGGACGGAACCGACGTACCCGGGGGAACACGGAACCGAACCCGGGGAGGGGCCGACACCAAATCCAACTCGTACGCAGAGGGGGGAAAAGAAAACCCCACTCCTTGTAACAATAAGCCCCGCTCAGTGGGAAGAAAAACCCAGGCGGGGTCCAGCGGGGCCCAAGGCCCCCAAGTCAGCCCCTCCCCAGCCTCGAGGTCCTTCACCACAGGACCCGAGGCCGAGTCCTCTCCCCAAGCCCCGACCCCACAAGACAAGGACGGAGCAGCCGGAAAAGCTGGAGGAAGGGGGGCCCACTGGTCAGACCCTGAAGCTTCGGCCGGGAGACAAGACTCGAATGCCTCTGCCGCCCCCCTGGAAGGGGCACCCCCCGAAGCTGCCCGAGTCTCGAGATCAAGTAACCCCTGCTCCGACCCCGAACCCTCAGACGCTTCGGGGCCGGAAGCAGGGGCGGGGGACCAGAACGAACAGAACGGGAAGGACGAGGAGGTGCGGACTGAACTAGGATCGAAGCGACCCCCACCCCCAAGTCCGGGTCTCGAAAAGCAAAGCGGGGCAGCCCCGGGGCATCCGGGGAAGCAACCAACCGAGCGCGTTGCAACAGACGAAACCGAGACTGCAACGCACGCGCCGCCTGTACCCGAATAGAATCATCAGAGGATTGGGTAAATTGAGTCACAAGCAAGCAGCAACACTCACAGGACTCAGGGTCGAAAGCATCACCGACCCAACAGGCAGCGTGGCAGGGGCAAAAACAATGAGGGTCACCCTGAGACAAGGGGACCGAGCAACCCTCAAACTCGCACACAGCCTCGCACATTGGGGCCTCGTAGCCTGGTGGATAGCGCGCAGGACTCGTAATTCTGTGGCGCGGGTTCGATTCCCACACGAGGCAGAAACAAATGGGCAAAGTTTCTTTCACCCTAAGTGCCCCTGCTACCTAGCAGTAAATAGGTACCTGGGAGTTAGTCAGCTGTCACGGGCTGCTTCCTGGGGTGTGTGTGTGTGTGTGTGTGGGGTGTGGGAAAAAAAAAAAAAAAAAAAAAAAGGTAGTTAGTAAGTTAGTAAACAGTTGATTGACAGTTGAGAGGCGGGCCGAAAGAGCGAAGCTCAACCCCCGCAAAAACAGAACTAGTAAACACAACACAGCGAGTGGGGACTCCGGGGTCACATCCATCGGACCCACGCGCCCCCTAGGGGATTCCCAGGGTCCTGAGCGTTTACTTTAAGAGGACTCGCGCTCAGGTAGTCCCAGGCAGGGTGCTGCAAACCGGCACCCAAAACTACCAAGCAAACTTCTAAAGCTGAACCCCAGGGACGTGTACACTCACGGGGACCTAGCAGGGGGCGCCACCGAGGAGAACAGTGGAAGGGCAAAAATAAACTGAATAAAATGGCAGAACCCCCCACCAGGCAAAAACAAAAAGAAAAACAAAACCCCGCAAGAGGACAGCGAACCCCAAGGAACAGAGCCGGCCGCTATGTCAGGAATACAAGCTGTGCAGCACCCTGCGCCCCTACCAGTGCAAACTGCCTCTTACCTGCCGGTAACAAGGGAGAACAGAACACCCAAGAGCCTAACAGGCGGCCGAAAAACCGAAAGGTAAAACGGACCAGCAGAGGCAGACCCCGAGGAGCCTGTGGAAGGTGGCCCCAAGCTCCAAGGGCAGTACTTACAGGGCACCTAGGGAAGGCAGCCCTAGGCGCATGCATCCCAAGTACTGAAGATAACTCCTGGCTCTCGCACCCACAAAACAAACACCACACGCAAAGCACAGTGCAGTAGCGACACCGGAGCCAGAGCACACGACCATCGCCTATAGCATCAGCCTCAAGAACTGAGGTGTGGGTAGCCGGCGTGGAGGGTCTGGGGCTACCCTTTCCCCCTCCCGGGGAGGGGGGAGCTGCGCAGACAGCGGCGTGGCGGCGTGTGACGTCACACTAGTTTGCTTGTTTTCTGTTGGGGAGTTCTATCCACTAGTTCGGCTTTTGGTAGCAATTTTAACCAGAATAGGGGTTTGTTTTGAGGCGCTTACCTTTCTGGGTGCCTGTTCCAGTCGATGGCAGACATAGAATGCTTCCAACCACACGGGGGCTTCTATAGGCCATTGCTCCCCTTGCCTCTCTGAGGGGGTCCGGTTCTGGCTGTGGTCCCCGGTAGGCCTAAGAACTCCATACACATGACTAATGCCAAAGTTTGACATTATCATATCAGCCTGGGATAGCTCCGGGGAGCCGACGGGGCTCCCCTCAGAAATTGTATTCAGTATTTAGCCACGTTATTGTGACTCATCGCCTGCATTTGTATTCAGTATAAAATGTATTTTTAAGTTAATATTTTTGGGGTTGTGGAACGGATTAATCCAATTCCCTTTATTTCTTAAGGAAAAATCGCTTCGACTTACGATACATCTCTGGGAATGGATTACCATCATAAATCGAGGCCCCCACTGTATTTCAAATGTCATATTGACAAAATGTTTACAGTAAACTATACTGAAAATCTATATTCTAAATATGTGAATATGCTGATCTGAGAGATCAGCATATTCTGAGACATGAGACTGAGATCATATGCTATTCTGAGAGCATAACAACACCAAATAAACAGTTGGAGGTATTTTTGTATTTTTGCAGCTGATTTCAAAATCTGACGTTTTCTATATTCAATTTTCTATATATAATAATTATTTTGTATTTTCTTGTTTTTCAAGTTACACTGGTTTAGACAAAGTTAGTTGGAGCATTTGCCTAGTAGAGTATTCACAAAACATTTGAAAGTTTCAGAAAATTGTAAAAACCGAGTTCAATGTCACACATCTGTCATAGTAATTTCTCTAGAAAGGAGATTATGCCTGCTCCCTCATCATCTATTCGACTATACCACATCTACATATTTAAGAAATCAAGAATGTACAGCTGCAACAAAGCCAACAACTACTTTTCAGACATCTAGACAGAGTACCACCAGTTTGCCTCCCCCACGGCCCGTCACCCTCCTCGCACTTGGTGACTGGGTGCTCACGCCACCGGCCGAAACAATCAGTTAAAGTGAGCCGGTTCCTAGTTATCGACGATACCAGCGCCACCTGGACCGGCCGTCGTTCCATATAAATACTGTAGAAGCCAGCCACCATCCTGATTCAGAGTACTCCAGAGTGCTGTACTGCAAAGATCTGTTGGCATATCTCGGTGTGGTAACGGATTTATGCAGTCTAGCTCATAGTATTCTAACACCATATTTTATTTGCACATTAACGTAATGTAAATTTGATTGTTCATATTGTTTGTTTTGCACACGTGGAATTAGAGCCAAGCCTGGATATTATTTTTTATTTTGTAATTTGTTTAACATCATTCTTATTAAGTAAAGTAATTTTAAATGTTTTTCTCTGTCTTACCTCACAGTGAAGACAAATAGCAGTCTTAACATCTTTTGCTTTTACTTTATGTGACAGGCATTCCATCTGCCCTAGAGAGACTACACTAACATCCATTTTCTCATCATACATCATATAAGGTTTTGCGCAGTTTAATGGTTAAACCATCCAGGAGTTGACAATAATTAGGCTAATCTAGATCAATTATTTCCAATAAACATCTGTAACATGCCATTATACATTTTAACTACTATATTCCTTGTAAATATAACAAACCAATTACAATACAAATCTTTACCAGCTAGAAAAACAATTGTTACTTCAAATGAATCTTACTCTTTTCAACTTGTGAAGGTCTGAGACTCAAACAACTGAGGTGTGTGCATTATGGTGGCCATAATGAAAAGTTGTAAGGAAAAGATAATGTGCAAATACGGCAAGTGTGCATTAAATTGTCATAAACACAAGCTACAGTATACTGTAATGTACAGGAATGATCACAAGTCATTTTTCTGGGTAATGAATGATATAATTTGTTTTATTGATAATTCATGATGAATGTGTTGCACCATAAAACAAATTATATCATTCATTACCCAGAAAAATGACTTGTGATCATTCCTGTACAGCACCCTGGAAACACAAACCGAAACTGTCTCTATTTTCCGCTTGTTACAACTTGTAATAAAGTTGTTACATCTTGGCTTAATGTGTTTATGACGTATTAGAACGTTGTTACAACTTGCTATATTGGTTGTTATAACTGGTTAGGAGGTGTTAAAACTTGTTCGAACGTTGTACCAATGTTGTAGTTTCGGTGTATGTTTGGCGGGTACAGTATAGCTTGTGTTAATGACAATTTAATGCACACTTGCCATATCTGCACATTATCTTCATTATCTTACGTGATATCACTATTTTCTTAGGTTAAGCCTTACCACTGACTTTCTGGGACCCAAGGCGTGATATATAATAATCAGTTTTATGTTCAAAAAGCAAAAAATCACCACAAAAACCGAATTTCTTATAGGCGTGATTGTCACTAAGCGGGCAGCTCTAGCAAACTGAGGCAGATTGGCCCGCGTGACTGGGAACCACGCACTCGGTCGACCCAAACGTGTACCAACAACTATCGTTGGTCGTCGACACTATCGTAAGTTGAGTCACATTTTTCGATGAAAATTAAATCGTAACTAGAAATTATCATAAGTTGGGGCAATCGTAAGTCGAGGTGCCACTGTATTCATTATTTTTACAGAACAAACACACAACTGGAAGTTTAACAATGCTTATGTGATTAATAACTAGACCTTTACATTTTTCCTAATAACTGACTAATCAGTAAGAAAAATGGTGCTGGAAGCCCACTAATCTACACAGACATCATATCTCAGCAGCCAGATGAGAAGCACAGTAACTGATAAATAGATTACTACAACCAAATCATTAAAGTATTTTTCATATCTCTAAATTAAACAGAGCAATAAAATAATTTATGGCTCTTCATTTAAATTTAAACTTTAAAAGCTTACCTTAACAATGATGAGTCAACTGTTAGTCTCGGCCGCTTGAACTGTGCCGAGTTAATATATTCTTCCACTAATTTTGGTGTCACGCATATTACGTGTTGACCTTTCCAGTACTTAACCAAGTTGATATTCTGCAGTGTTGATATTATGTCTTGTTGCGTGATACTTGTCATCTGACTACAAGAACAACAAATTAAAAAAATAGGTTTATATGAAATAAATTAACTAAATTGTTGCTCACATTTTATTATGACTAACACAGAATGTTTATAAAATTAATTTCATGTATATGACACTAGTAATTCCCCCCCAAAAAAAAACAGCGTTGAATGAAATGAAAAGCTAGTTTCTGGATGAGCCCTAGAGGCTCCCTGAAGCTATCATCACTAATTAAGTGCCATACTAAAGCAGCATCAGTTGCGGAGTTCTTTTTGCCTACCAGGAACCAAGAGCCAAAACCTGGCCCCTTCAGAGAGTGATGCCTATGATCACTGTACATTTAAAAAATACCATCTTTGTCACCACCAGAGAAGGCACCCAGAAACATAGGCGAATTAAAACAATTCACTGCCTGGTTTAAAAACTCGATCATAGCCCCAAAGTACCAAAAGAATTGCCCCATTAAAAAAAAAAACATAGTGGAACTAGCTTCCCACTAGTTAACTCCACCTTCCTCCTTGCTGGGAGTGGGGGGTGCCAGCCAGCTTCAGTTCTTTAATAATAAAAACACAACCAACCTAGGGAAGGGAGGGTATCAGGGAGCCTCCAGGACTCGCCATAATGGGAGACTCTGTTAAACCTCCAAAACTCCCAGGACCAAACATCTGCCCATGACATACTGTCTCCACTCGATCATCCGGACTATATGGGAAGCACCCCCAGCCGGATTATCACATTTTTCGGATAATGGTACTTTTTCACCTACGAGTCCAAAAGTGATAATTTCCAACTACTTTTATACTACAAACAACATAATTTGAATTGCCTTGCCACATATAATTATTAAATATTCAACTAGAAACCTCAACTTACCTTGTTGGTGTTCGTCTTTTTGATTGATGCCACACATCTTGAAATTAAAAATTCTTACAAATTTACGTAACCTATACTAACACAACACTAAAATTAACACTTAAAATTACTGTACAGTTCATTAACCCTTGAAGTGCGCATCACGTCATAAGACGTGTTGGACGTTGTTCCAGTCAACTGCGCATCACGTCATATGACGTGTTGGAGTACTACGCAAGATTTAAACGGCCCGCGGATACACGGGGTTCACCACACCTTCATCAGGGCTCTTGTAAACAGACGCCATTTTTTTTAAAAATTGTGGGCCAAACTCCCGGGTGTTATTGGCCTCAGTATTGAGTGAGCAACCAAGCCTGACGCACGCAGCATGAGCTAACAGCACTGCTGTTCAGCTTGTGACCACAGCATCGCCTAAAAATGCCAAAATATACTTGTTCATGCTATTATGTAGCGATGATATTATTACAGAAGACCCCTGACTGTGATAAAACTGACCAGGGTTCTGATAATAGCAGGATTGTGGTGATATTTAGCGCTGTGCGCCATGGAGGGAGGAGTAATGCTGTGGGAGGGAGGGTGGTGGCGATGTCTTCTGACTGTGTGTGGCCACCTTTTATTGACTGCACTCACCATACAAGTTTAGTGGTTCGCTATGGTGAACACAAATGTAGATACTTATATATAACGTGTGTATAGAGGGTATAAACAGCAAGAGAAGGTTTGGAGCCGCCATTTTGGTGAGGGCGGTGGCGTCGTCTGCACGACGCCACCGTGCAGACGACGGTGTTGTTAACTGGTTACCACGATGGTCTTTGGGCACCATACCAGTTTATTTGTACAAGTATGGTGAATAAAACAGGTAGATATTTATATATAATGTGTGTATATAGCGTAATAACACCACACAGTATTGTTGGAGGAGAAATATTAGTGCGTCTGGCCTTGAGGGCGGCAGCCATCAGCTGTGTGAGGTCCTACGTCTTTGTGCCTTTACTCACCATACAAGCTTAGATGTAGTTATGGTGAACAAAACATGTAAATACTTATATATAACGTCTGTATATAAGATATATAGCGTAATAACACCACACAGTATTGTTGGAGAAATATTAGTGCGTCTGGCCTTGAGGGCGGCAGCCATCAGCTGACTGTGTGAGGTCCTACGTCTTTGTGCCTTTACTCACCATACAAGCTTAGATGTACAGTTATGGTGAACAAAACATGTAGATACTTATATATAACATCTGTATATAGTGAATTATAGCAAAAACAGTTTTGTGGGAGGAGAATGTGGGTGAGTCAGATGACTTGAGGGAGGGCGGGAGTGGCTGGCTGGTACACGGCGGTCACTCCTCGTTACTTTTTGACTCATAATAGCTACTTAGTGGTTCGTTATAGTGAACAAAACATGCAGATACTTATATATAACCTGTGCTTATAGTGTAATAACCGACAAATTATTTGTTCACTGATACCACCCCCTATCCATGGCCAAACAAGGGCCACGAAACCTCAGATGGCCCCAAGGGCGAGGTAAATGCCGAGCAGAAAAATCCCCTACGGAAATGGTTTCCCGAAAGCCCCAGAGAAGGGAACCCCCTAACATGCAAGGGCATTACTCACAGGGTGCCTAGGGAAGGAGGTCCCTAAGCGCATGCAGCCTCGACACTGATGAGGACACCTGGCCACCATACACAACACTACTGCAGAGGTCACCACGAAGGCAAAACACCACCTATAGGTATCGAGGCCGGAGAAAAGTCTGCCCCAGACCACATTAACTAACAAACTGAATTGCTGGGTAGCCGGCACAGGGAGGGGAGGGCTGTGCAGACAAGCAGCGTGACAGTGAAGTGTGACGTTTGCTTGTTTCCGTGGGATTGGAGGGAGTTCTACCTCTCGTTTCGGTTTTTGTTGTACTTATTCTTACCATGAAGGGTTTGTTTTGTTATGCCTACCTTTCTGGGTGCCAAACCCCGGTCGATAGCAGATAAGGAAAACCCTCATCCCCAGGGGGATTTTTCCAGGCCCATTGCTCCCTGAAACCTCTCTGAGGAGGCCAGGTTCTGGCTTGTGGTACCCGGTAGGTCGAACTCCATAGACAAGTGCTCCAGCCAAATATATCACACATTAGCCCGATAGCTCCAGCGAGCCAAAGGGGCTCTCCACAATAGTAGCAGCATTTAAAAGAGCCTACAGTGGAATGATGGACTTCAAATGTCCAAAAGCTATTAATTAAAACAAGAATTTTGAATATATGCTTTTCATGGAATTTCCCTAATATTATAGTGAATAGATGATGAATCAACAATATTCACACTATTCTGCCAGTAGAGAAGTGTCAGTAATGTTGATTCAAAGTAGCTGTTAGTGAATTAACACTGATCAAAAATAAAATACAAAAATTGTAATGTCACTGCAGACAAAAGTTGCCAAGAACAGTATTTCAATATTTAAGTCCACTTGACATCAGAAGCAACAACATTAATCTTTCAAATTTATAATCCTAAAAAGATTGTAAAGTGCATTTTTTAACACACCTGAGGTCCTTGATGGAAAGAGTACCCTTGAAGTCTCTGAGAATTTCTAGTAACACCCAAGTCCAATATGATCTGTACGAGAGCTTCCCAAGATCTGACAATGGCTTCTCAGGGCTGCCTACAACACCTTCCAACTTGCTTAATTCGTAACTAGAACAAATATGGAAAGAAAACTTAGACATGTTAATGTTTAATTTACTAAAAATAAAATATCTTGACCTCATCCCCAACTTTTAGTGAAAGGGTATATAGTGTACCTCCACATCATGCAAAACTTCCATAGCTAGCATTTCAATAATTTGATACATTATATGCAAATACAACACATCATTTGTTTTTTAATTTTCATAGAGTGGTGAGGTATCAGATCGGAGGAAACAGAAGAGCAATAAAAAAAAGAGGAGAGATTAGATACATAAAGACGTTATATATACTGTATATATTTTTGTCCATTTTCCACACATCAAACTATATAATCTAGTACCATCACACAACCCAGGAAACCTATCAGAAAGTTGGAAGGCAGCCAATGAAATGTTAATACACAAAAAGGGCAACAGATAATAGGTGCAAAACTGTAGGCCAGTGTTCCTGACATGCAAACTATGAAAGATGATCCACAAGACCATACAAAGGAGGCTAGAAGAACATTTCAGGACAGGAGGTTTTATAATACCTAAGGTATCTAGCATGTTTCAGAGATGATAAATCTTGCCTTCCAAACTTTACAGAATTCTGACTGGGCAACAGAGATCAGGCAAAACAGAAGCGTAGGCAAACTGCATATTTTTGAACTGACCCTACAAGACTGATGCACAGGTTGGAGAAGCAGACAGAGGTGACAGGGAAGATGCTCCAGTGAATAATGAAGTGCTGTATCTTGGAAATAGAAGATAGTTATATTGAAAGGACAGACCTTAAAGTGGCAAGGTGTTACTGTCAGAGTTCTACAGGCGCCAGTACTTCCTCCTATCAATGGTTGATGATTATACCAAAATGATCAGCATTTATAATTGCAAAGGCTGAAAGAAACTACAGGATGACCTAGACAAATTGAAAGAATAGTAAAAAAAAAATCAGCGTTGAATGTAATGAAATGTCATATTCTGGGTGAGTTCCGGAGGCTCCCCGGAACTATCCAGGCTGATAGGGATAGTCCTAACTTTTGGCATCAATGTGGGTTGAGTTCTAGGCCTACCGAGGACCACGAACTAGAACCTGGTCTCCTCAGAGGCACGAGGAGCAATGGCCTATAGAAATGCACATATGATTTTGATGCATTCTATATCTGCCATCGACCAGGACAGGCACCCAGAAAGGTAAGAACCTCAAAACAAACCACCTATTCTGGTGAGACCAACGAAAATAACGCAGTCTGCATTATTTGTGTCTAACGCATTTGTGTCTAATTATTTGCGCCATGTCTGCCAGCTCCCCGTTACCCGGGAGGGGAAAGGGGGGAGCCTCAGACCCCCGCGCCGGCGATACACACATAAGTTCCGAGGCTGGATATCAAAATACACGAAAACCGCTGACCAGAGGGAGGGAAGGTTGCCGGGGAGCCTAAGGGATTCATTCAGAAAATGGAATTTCATTACATTCAACGCTGGTTTTCTGGCGGAAGCCCCTACAGCTTCCCGGAGCTACTTCACCAAAGACTAAGGAAAGAAGGGGACATACCCGGAAGGCGGTCGGTGCTCCATAACTCAACTTGAAGTCGAGGCAGGCTGCAGCCGCCAACCCAAAGCAACACAGGCCCGACTAGGCCCAGGAACGTTAACGAGGTAGCGTGCAGCCAGGACCCTGTTCGACCGCCAAAAACACCGTGCCCGAATGTCAGCCCAGGACATGTTCCCAAAGATGGCAGCAAGAGCAGCGACTGAAGGCTGACTAGACTTAATATCCCTGCGGACGACATGAGAGATCCGTACTCGCGAACAAGAAAGAAGGGAAAATGGATCACCCGAAAGCACGTTCCCGGACACAGAAGCCGTGTCGTGCAAATAACGGCGGAGGGCAGCAACCGGACACAACACATGATGCACCCCCGGCCTGACCAACCAAGCATCAACAACCCAAGGACCCCTCCGGAAAGCAGCAGTCTCATTTTTCGCCAGAAAAGGCGACGGCAGCAGCCGAACAAACCTACCTCCACGACCGAAAGAGCAGAAACCCCTGTGCTGGAGGAAAGCATGAATCTCCCCAACCCGGCCCCCAGAGGCCAATGCCAACAGGAAAAAGAGCCTTCGAAAAACAATCCTGAACCGGAGGGACAACAACAAACCGAGAAGGAGAGATAGGAGAGTACTTTGTGCGGTGCATGTACAGGCCGGAGGTGAAACAACGCACGAGACAGCTTGCGAAACAGCGTAGACGTAACATCTATACCAAAAGCAGCTGAAGCGGCTCCGCCAGCACTGCACGATACGAGGCAACAGTATTCGGCATACAATGACAGTCCTGGAACAACCACGAGAGAAAGAACAACACCAACCGAACCGAAAGCGAAATACAGTGAAGAAGAGTCAAAAAGAAATGGAAGGACCGCCGCCAAGACAAAGCCCGCAACTGGGACACCATCAATGAAGCCACCTGATCACCACAAATGGTGATCAACTCGAGTCAAACATACCAAACGTGAAGACTCGAGGAGAAGAGCGAACCAGTTTCGTAACGAACTGGGCTAATCTTGTGAAAGAGGCAGAGCTGCGTAAAAAAAACCCAGGTTCAGACATCGGGCAAGCAGCACCTGAAACCACAGCTGGGCCATCCACCACGGGGCCAAGAAGACTACTCGCCCCTGGTAAGTCTCCCAGCAAGACAGGACCTGGAGCAACAGCTGAACCGGCGAGATTAGATACCATGAACCCCCACCTCAACCAGTCCTGCCGAAAGGTGTCGATCCCAACAGCCTCGCTGTTGGGGAATGACACCCCACATACCCGAAGATGCCGTCCACCAGGGCGTTAGACAACCCCCCCCGGACGTGAACCGCCAGGAGAGTCAAACCCCCTAGAACTCAGCAGACGAGTCACCCGAAGCGACCAACCTCAAAGAGCCAAGGACTGCATTGAACCTCCTCGGTTCAAGCAATGAACCACCAGGGAGCAGTTTGAATGGAGCCGGATCGTCAATCTGCGGGCGACCCTAACCCTCCGAAGAGAATACCACACCATCGCTAACACCGCACCATGTTGTCGGCCCGACGGAAGGACGGACCCTACCGCATCTAACCAGCCTGGTGAGCACTGGTCACAAAGCCCTGGGCGAGAGATGACGCGTCCGTGAACACATTAAGAGAGGGCTCGGGCAGGCGCCAAGGCACTGAACCCCGAAAAACCCAAAGAAGAAGCTGGCGACGCAGCTGCCGACGTAAGGCCCCCAGGGGATGAACCCAGCGGTCGGGAGAGAGACGGAAGGGACGTCCCCAAAGGAACCCGAACAACCGACCCGGCAGGTAGACCATAATCGCAAAGCTCAGACTCCCGAACAGACCCTTAGGCAATCACCAGGTGACCCGGGAGCCCCCCAAAACTAGCACATGCATGACCGCAGCCGAAGGAGAGACTCCGGAGGAAGAGACAAGCAAGCGGTCCAAGAGTCCCGCACAAGGCCCAGCCAGGTCCGAACCTGGGAGGGAAACAGATGGGACTTCCACCAGTTTACCAGGAACCCGAACCCAGCTAGTTGGGAAAGCACCAAACCCCTGGTGTGCAGACACGAAGATCGACTGGGAGCCCAAACCAGCCAGTCGTCTAGGTAAGCAAACACCCGAACACCTAACAGATGAAGATGGGCCACCACGACCAGGGTAAGGCGTGTGAAAGCGCGAGGTGCCAGGTTCAACCCGAACGGGAGACAACGAAAGCAGAAACTCTGACACCCCACAACAAACCCGAGCCAGTCCCTGAGCTCCAAATGAATCAGGACATGTCAATACGCATCCTTGATATCCAGGGACACCATCCAAGCACCCGGCTCCAACAGAAGCCGAACCTGGAACAGGGTGGATATCCGAAGAGAGGGGCAAAAAACCAGCATTGAATGTAACGAAACACCATTTTCTGGGTGAAACCCAGAGGCTTCCCGGAGCTATCCAGGCTGATATTGCTATTGTCAGACTTTGGCATCAGTCATGTGTATGGAGTTCTTTACGCCTACCGAGGACCACGAGCCAGAACCTGTCCCCCCTCAAGAGAGGCATGAGGGAGCAATAGCCTAGAGAAACCCCATGTGGTTGGAAGCATTCTATGTCTGCCATCGACTGGGTTAGGCACCCAGAGAGGTAAACATCCCAAAAACACATCCCTATTCTGGTTAAGAAATTGCTACTGAGAGCCAAACGACTAGAGAGGACAGTTCTGAGAGGACAGAACTCCCAAAATAAAAATGAGCTAACGAGCATGACATCACCACGTCGCCACGCCACTGTCTGCGCAGCTCCCCACCTCCCTGGGAGGGGGGAAGGGAAGGCCCCCCAGACACCTCGTGCCTGCTACCCAGGACCCTAGTTCTGAGGCTGGATAACAAAGCATGCGAAAGAAACGCCGACCGGAGGGAGGGAGGGAGGGTTGCTGGGGAGCCTACGGGTCTCACCCAGAAAATAGCATTTCATTACATTGAACGCTGGTTTTCTGGGGGAAGCCCCGTCGGCTTCAAGGAGCCAACGGGGCTCCAATAAAGATGAAAACAAGAGGGACCTAGGCCAGGAGGCGGACGTCGCTCACAACTACAACCGCCAACCCAAGATCACACAGGCCTGACAAGGCCCAGGAACATCAATGAAGAAACGCGCAGCCAACCTACGAACGTCGTGGGCACGGAGATTGACCCCAGGCTGGCTGGACCGAACCAGCTCGCGGACGACCCGAGAGAATCGTACCCTGGAACAGGGAAGAAGGGAAACCGGAACAACCCAAAGCTTGACCCCGGTCACGGCAACCGTAGCACGCAAAGAACAGAGAAGCACAGCAACCGAACACAACACTTGATGCCCCCGCCCCTGGCTAGACCAACCAAGCATCAACAACCCAAGGACCCCTCCGGAAAGCAGCCGTGTCAGTCTTCGCCAGAAAAGAAGGAGACGGCTGCAAGCGAATAAACCTATAACGAGGACAAAAAGAGCTAAAACCCTAGCACTGGAGGAGAGC